CTGATAAAATTCTATTGATACAGATAGTAATTATATTGGACAAAAATAAATGACTATAAAAATCTTCTTCTCAATCTCCACCTTCACTTCCACTTAAGAATTAGTACTTCTTCTGAATCCTTTTCACATTGTGATTCATTAACCATCCCTTCTCAGTATAACTCTCCTCCTCAACTCAGTGACTAGAATCTAACTTTGCATTTGGAAATATGTAACACCACAAAATTTAATGGGACAGATTTCTGAGTGTTAGTTACAGAATTTGCTATAGCATTCATTCAGTGGAGTTTAATCATTTTAACCCACAAATAAAGTAAAACTATTTTTTGGAGCTGCCTCTGCAGCTTGATTTTATCATTTACTGCAGATGACCACATAAAATTGTTATTCTTTAGAATTGGAATTCCTTGAAAATGAATTTTTCTTGTACCTTGTCACATATGGCCCATTAATATCAGAAATATGTATGTATATATGTATTTGTGTATACATGCATGTTGGAAGGTCTCTTGGTCATGCATCTGTTTATTCAGATAATGGTGGTCACAAGCACCATTCTCTTTTCTGGTCCAGATAGAAGATAGTTTCTCAGTCTAAGTGAGTGCTAAAACATAAAAGTCAAATGAAGATATTCTGATTCATTATTTTGAAAATGACAGAAAGTTTTGCAACCTTGCAGATTGTGGAAATGATGGGGGAAAAGATGAGAAGCACACCTTTTTTTAACAAAGAATCTCTCAAAGCTTGGGCCTTTGCAAGCACTTTGAAATGCTAACCCAATATAAAATTTGTTTTTTCATCCAAACTTTTGTAACAGAAATTCTGGTCAATTATGTTCTCCAGAATGTATTTAAAATGTGTTCACTTTAAAAAAAAGGGAAGAACTATCACAAATTCATTGAATTTATTCCTTTGTATTTATACAAACAATTGTGCAAGTTTAAAGAATGGTAATCAAATGGTATTATTTGACTTTACCCGTTTTGAGAAAAGTCAGATCAGTGTTAAAGGTTTGCAGGGTTGCACAGAAATAATTTGAAATAATTAACGCTGCCTGACTTTACTTGTTCTATTTCCAGTCCTTAAATCCAAGGAGCCAGACTTTATAATCTGTTTGCTGAAGTGACTAAGTATAATGTTGGTATCGTTTTAATTACCATAAACAAAATCATCAACTGCAAAGAATTAAGAATGTCTGGTTGTGACATAGCATGTGTTAATGCCTTTTCATTTTGCAGGGGTGGTCTCATAAGAAAAGAACACACAGTTTATTTATTTAGCTAGCTAACTAGCTAGACAGATAGACATATATCTATATAACCCAAGTGCAATCATCTCCTTTTCTGAATTTAAATATGATCAAAAACAAATTTTAGACTGAGAACTTCTAATTGTTTTCGATTATTGTTTTCAACAGTAAAGCTGTTTCTGCTCAAATCTGTCATGGTACTCCTTTTTCTTCTTCTGGCACCAAAGGAGAGAAGATAAAATTTAGCCACCCAAGAAGCAAACAAATGTACCTTTAAAAGTTCTTAATATGCCTAAGACTCTTGATGTGTATACAGTAAGGTGCTCAGATTTAGGCTTTTTTTCCTGATCCCTATAAACCTTAACTCTTTTTATCAGCTTCATTCATTCTGATTTTTATTTGGACAGATTAGGCAGTGGTTTGGTACTTAGGAGGTATAAAAATGAGGGTTTCTGTTAAATAAAAAAATTACTTTTCCAATAAAAGATAAAAGAAATTGTGACTTGCTAAGGCACCAATAAGGAATGCCTACAACACCAAAGAACAATATTCTGCTGTGCTTACTAATGGCATAAATTGCTATATCTACAGAATTTGCTTGATTTTTAAATCCTTGAAATACTACCAGGCAAATAGTAGCACGACTGCTACAAGCCATCAACTGGTCCATTCACATATTTTATTAAAGGAAATCCAAACAGCTTTGCAGTTCTTCATTGCTTCTTCCACAGATTTTTCCTTTTGGTAAAAAAATCTCATTGAGGAAAGCTGGAATAGTTCACAGTTGCTAGGGTCGCACATCACACTAAGCCATAAACTACTTGTGGACTGATCTGCACTGCCAGGTTGCCCTTTTGTGAGCCTGTCTGATCAACTACTTCTGGAGAGCAAGAGCAGATGATGTCATCTTTCTCTTGCCCCAGCCACTATGAACATACCTTCCACTTATGTTTTCCTGCTTCTCAACAAATGTAGTGTTTTCTCATTTGTGCTGGGTCAAGCTACCCACTTTGCTTATTATGCTTTACTTCCTGTTAGTAAGGGAAGTAAATTGAACTGAAAAGTGAATTGAACACCCCACTTGAGAGCAATTTTCCCAGAGTTTAATATATTTGTGATGACTAACGGGAACAGGTAGAATATGAAAACAACTTCTTTATCTGTCCTATAAAAGATGCATCTTTAGAAGGGAAGCCTTTTGGAAATTGGTGAAAATTGTTACTTGTTTATAGGAGAGCGGACACCGGATGTGTACATAGATAGAGCTGAAAATTATTTGGAAGAGCTTTGGATTGTGAATAAACAAAGTAATGATAAACCATGAGTTTGTCCATGGCTGATTACCCTCCAGCAACCGATAATGGAACTGATCTACTGGCCTCCGAAGGGTAAAGCAGGACCAGTCTATGAACCTCTGGGCAGTGGCATGGCAGCATTGAACTGCCCACAAGTTTGCCAAATTTCAATCCCATGGGAGTCATGTGTCCTGTATTTTGGATGCAAATTTCCTCAAATTTAGCCCACTGAGGTACCTTGATTTAAAAAAAATGTTTTCCCCAGTTAAAAGTTATAGACACAACAGTTTTAGGAATAGCAAACAGATTTATATAATTTAAATGTGAGCATATTTCTCCATATTGGGCAGGGGTGGGATTTAAATTTTTTAACAACTGGTTCTGTGGGCGTGGCTTGGGTGGTGGGCGTGGCTTGGTGGTCCTGTGACTGGGTGGACATGCCTTGGTGGTCATATTATTGGCTGGGTGTGGCCAACTCAATATCACTCACATCAAGGCACGCATCTCCTCGCCTGGCCTCTCATGACTGGGGATGCTGCAACAGTCGTAAGTGTGAAAAATGGTCATAAGTCACTTTTTTCAGTGCCATTGTAACTTTGAATGGTCACTCCACACAAAGTACCAGCAAAGGGGGGGGGGAAACTCCAGAGAAGTTCCTGAGACAGGAAGTCTAGTCCTGCCAAGAATGTAATAAGGGTTAATGGAGAGGCAGTTTCTGTAAGCAACACCAGAATGTTTCCTTCCTGCCTTCCTTACAGGATTAGGCTAGCAATTTTTTCTAACAACCGGTTCTCCGAACTGCTTAGAATGTTAACAACCGGTTCTAGCAAATAGGTGCAAACTGATAGAATCCCACTCCTGATTTTGGGGAACAACATGACCAAGTGGTCAATGTTGCTACTTAATCTGCAATCTAGGAGCAAACTTTTGATGGACAGCTTTGGGGTTCCTCCTGCCCTTATATAACTTTCTGAATCTTTATCATTGAAATATGCCCCCCCCCCCATGAAGATACCTCCAAGTATTATCTGGGGGGAGTATCCTTCAAAGAGGCAATTAATATTTATATGATAGGTATATGGATAAACTCAAGTTTATTAAAATCATGTTATTAAAACAAATTTATATCTTCCTAATTTTCTGCAGTAAGGCAGGAGGTGCTGTCTGTTATTAAATGCTCTATTGGTCCATTGAGTCATCAGTTGCTATATTTTAACTTCCAACATTTAAAATTAAGCTATCTGTTATTAGTACATTAAAGTTATTTTGGACTGTGTTGTATAGTGAGTTTATTTTGTGCTATTATAAAATATTTTAAAATCCACAATTATAGAGGTCATACTTAAATACTTTCAATAAGTAACATTTTCTTCACACTTATTAATCATTTTTTACATTGGAAAAACAAAAAATAAAGGCCACAGTCTTAACATTTGTGTTAGGAAATTTTATTTTATTTATTATTATTTTGATACTTATAACTATTATAATGGTAGTAAGTATGTGATTCAGAAACTGAAATCAAAAAGAAAAGAAGACAAACTCATATATAACTGAATAACAACACAATCTTATGCACGCCTACTCAGGAATAAAAGCCATTGTATTAAATGCAGCACATCTCCACTCGCAGTTGAAATAAATAAATGAATTCTGCATGTCATCATTCATAATTCCTGAGACAAATTTCATAATCAGCTCATAACAATCTGCTTCAAATGTTTGTTTCAAATGTATAAAATGCACACCTATGTTACCAAATACTTAAAGCAGTAAAGATTTGAGTAAATAATATCATATTTGAAATTAAAATATTTTACCTATGCATGCATAAATTATTCCACATAATTCACTAAGTAAAAGCTTTCATATAACAATGTGAAACTGCTAATTTCAGTAAATTATGCTTGAAAAAATACACACATGCATATAAACATCCTCCACACATTAATTTTCATTAATTTCTAAATTTATTACACTGAACAGCTGCCCATTTACCCTGAGCTCTATCTATAGAGGTTCTTAGTAGCATATATAAGACATTTTCCATTCCTTCCAACAACAGTAATCCTATTGGCTGCCCCCCCCCCCCACACACGATGTGGCCAAATAAAATAACATTTCATTGAATAAAAACAAAACAAGGTTATAAAAATATGAGGAATAAAAAATTTGAAATGCAGAAAATCTTTAAGGAGGTGTGCTTTTCACCAGGCAAAGCTGAATATTCAAAATGTCAATCTAAAACAAAAGAGATATAAATTAAACAAAATGAATTTTATTAGATCTATGCATTAAAAAATGACTCTTAATCATCTTTGCCTACGGCCGCTATTACTGTGATAAGATCTGGTACATTGTAGCATCCACACTTTACAATAATTCCATTACATGTTGCATTTATAAAACTAAACTTCTATTATGCACAATACATGAAAATAGCTAGTTATCTGCATGTTATATACTTGGGATCAATTGTTCTTCATTGCATCCATAATTTCATTCACAAGCCTGAAAAATAAAAAAAAGGATGAAGCACTATTAAATATTAAAGGACCATAAAAATAATTTATTTAAATAATTTATTTATTTAAAGAATACATATTCTTCATATAAGTATTTATAATATGCATAATCACGTAGACAGTGAAAACAACAAGACTATGAAATTTAAATAACATTACAACATCAGTATGAAGTTAATATGATGGTACAGAAAAACATTTAGAAGATGGCAGTAACTGTGCCTTTTCCCATCTTCTTCTGCTTGGCAATTTTATTTATTTACTTGATTTTTACTGCATCCCTATTTTTAATAACTCAAGGTGTTATACATAATGCTTCTTCCACCTATTTTCCCCACAACCACCACCCTATGAGACGGTTTGGGCTGACAGAATTCAACTGGCTCAAATTATCAAAGCAGTAATCTTTGATATGTGATGCAACAAGAATCTTATGAATGTTGAATAATGGAGAATCAGTAAGGTTTTAAAATATAGATGCGTATATGTACACAAGAGTGGTCACAACATCTTTGAGAGGTAATGAAAGGTAGGAAAAAGAAAAGGCTCAGGGTATGACAATCACTTGATGATTACCAGCTTAACATCACTGTTTGGCTAACGCAGTTCATTAAATTTTTAGAAAAAAACCTAAAGAGAATGAATGAGCCAGCTTTAGTGAAAGTTTATGGCTTTCTGTTCATTTCTCACTGTATCATTTTTATTATGTCTAAGGAAAGAAATAAAAAATAAATGATAGAATAGATTAGATTTTAGACTTATCTTTCTTTACGCATTCCAGCTTTGCTGAGTTTAAAAAGGAAGGTCACAAATGAAGTAAAAATTTCACAGAGCATAGGAAATGGAAATCTCTCCTGAAAGTTTACAATGCTTTGGGAATGTTTATTTGAATTTAAGTAAGCTCTTTTAAACCAAATGACAAGTTAAACATTTATATTTCTAGTATGGTTTATCTTGGCATTTCCTATGAAGGATATCGGTGTTGAAATCAAGATGAATTAGGAATCCTTCTAATAGAACTTTAAAATGGAAAATCTTCCTTACATTCAGAGTTTCACTACATTCAGATAAAATGACTTAAAATGCTTATAGTTTCATTTCAGAATGGAGATTTATTATTTATTTATTTAGCGTATGGCACTAGCAATATATATTAACATTTCATCTAGATTTGAAAACACAATATAAAAGTTAAAAGATCTATGTTCAAATACCAATGTCTAGACCATCTAACCATTGAAGCGGAGAATTGGGAGCATAATGGAGAAACGCTATCTCATAACTTATACTTTATAATTACCAGCACTGGAGACTTGGATTGTGGTCAGTGTTATCATGCTAGTAAAAATAATATTATCAAAAATAGTTCTGATAAGAAATATGTTATATTGGGAAGTCTGCCATTGTGACTTGTTCCATTAACAGTTGATATTTTAATTAAAACTGAGCTATTTTTCAAAGGTAAATCAAAAGAGAGGATGTGGGCACTAGTTGATTGAAAATGACTTGATGGCACTTAGTCAATCAATCAATGAAAATATCTTTGAAGCAATCACTGGATGCTTTTCTGATAATGTCACATCTTCATTTGCCACTCCTTCTTCTTGCACTGAAGTCAGTGTAACCATCTGCCACCATCCCACTCAGCCATAGCAAGTCATAAAAAGAAGTACCATATATGTGTATCTTCCCATTTACCCAGTTCAATCCTGTTAATTGAAACTTAAAACAATTTTCAGGGCATCCAAATCACAATTTTATTTTAGAATTTCATTCAAAAAGGGGAAAAGAACTACAATTCAGATTTTACTAGGTTGGCATAAGCTGGGTTAGGATTGTTCATGGGTTGCCTTCCAGCAACAATTTCAGGATTGACTAGGAGAAACTACAGCATTAGGAATCAATGTGAATCAGAATCACAAATCCAGGCTTTTTAGAAAAGAAGCCCATTGTTTGATACCTTGAAGCTTTGTGTCCCTCAAAAAGGATTATGATGTCTGCACATTTTACCCAATTCAGTTGGGAAATGCAGATGATCATTTGTGGATTTTCATTGCAACAGAAGACATACAGTTTCTGATTTTGATTTAGTCCTGAATCAAATTAGATTACCCTTCAGGTGAGTTGAATACTTTGTGGTTGGCCTTGGTCCTAATACAATACTATGTATATTTTGTGGTTTTGATTCTGCTTCATTTGTTCTAGCACATTTAATCATTTATTAAATGTAATTAAATGTATTTATTAAATGTATTTATTAATCATACCTACAGCAGTCAGCTGGATTCTGCTGTTTTACAGTGTAATTAACAGCATAAACAAAACAATGTGATTTTTTGTCACAATAATTTTTTCATTTTATTCAGAAAGTTAAAATACAAGCTTCCAAAAAAGAAAAAAAAAGAAATTTTACAAGAACAAAACAAAATTAGACATATTTAAAAATGTGCATTCGAACAGACAAAAAGACATATACATATACATATGTTGTCCCTCTAGTTGAATACTGATTTAGAATTCAGTCCTAAATCAAACTGGATAGCTTCCACATGAGTTGGGAAACTTGTGGTTGCTCTCGGTCCAAATAAAACACCATGTATATTTTGTGATTTTGATTCTGTTTCCATTTATTATTCATTTATTAAATTCACACCTACTGCAATCAGCTCAATTCTGCTGATTTACTGTGTACAGCATAAAGTAAACAAACCAATGTGATTTCTAATAGGGAAGACATTCCGCCTTAAGGGAAAGTCAGAATCTACAACTTTTAGTGCCATTCAATGTCCATTCAGAAATGGAAAATTCTTCAGCATCCTGTATAGGGATGGTAACGAGAGTCTGTGTGATAAAATTAGTGCTGCAACATTGGAATGCTGGCACCACTTCTTTTCTCACACGTTGCAACATTGCACACACAGAAGGGGGTAGAGCTTAGGGACCAACATTTCTTTCATCATCCTTCATTAGAAATTATTATATTGATGATTTTTTCACAGAATTTTAAATGAAAAACTTAATTCCCCAATTAAAAACAATTAAATATATTAATCAATTAAAATTTTCTAAGAAAATAAAGTATTTAATGTGGGCAGACAAATAATTTAAATAGAATCTAGAGCTTTGAAGCCTCCTTTTTATTGTGAAAAAACTGTTTTATTTGCTATAATCTTTTCCATGACCAAAATAGCTTTTTTACTTCTTTTGTAATATCCTGAAATTGAAGAATGCAGTATTAGCTAAATTCAACTGATTAAAAGCTGAGTCAAAAAAAACCACCTGTTATTGAGAAGATTGCTCTTCTGTTCTCAATCATAAATTATGAAATTTAATTTCTCTCAACACTAAATCACATATATAATGCCCGTGCAGATTTGTGTCTCATTTATTAACTTTTGTAGCATTTTTGCTGCATGGATAATACTTTCATTTGCAGTGTTTACAGGGAATTTGCATTAGAAACTTTGCCAGGAGTTTTCCTGGCTCTCTGCATTACAAGCATTTCAACACCTGGATGTTGGCAGCCTGCATTTTCCATGACTTGCCCTTCACTTGTAAGTTTGGCCACAAAAACTGCATTCCAAAAGCAGATGTCTGCTATTAGCCATATAATTATTTTTAAAAGGCTTATTCTTTTACCCAATTTGCCATGCTCAGATGTCACACACAGTACAATATTGCTCAGATCAAACAATGTTTGTTCTCTTTCAATGAACCACCTATTTTGAGTGACCTCCAATTAAATAAATGAAAAGTCTACTATGAAAATTGATATATGGGCTAAAATCAAGATTCAAAGTTTTGTAAGAAGGTAACTGTTATTTCAGTTAAGGAGGTTTTACCACTCTCTGCCTTTTGTTCAAGCTAGAATAAACAGATTTTTTTTGTTCATAACAGTGAACAATGCTGTCAAATACAGCTTATTTTTTTCTTATGTTCTTTCTATTTGGAAATTTCTTATAATCAACAAGGATACATTTACTTTGAGCAGTACCCAGAGTTGGAAATAATAAACTAAGATCTAGCTCCTGATGCCACACTAAGCTAATGAAAATGTGACACACCTAAAAAACAATTGTAGCTTTGATCTCAATGACATGGCCCTGATCTTGACTTTTTAACCATATCATGCGGACACTTTTACTAATTTTTAGTTTTATCTATTTATTCCAAAGGGGGGAGCAATCAGCTGTTTATATTGTAATGCTTCAAATAGACAGGATACGTTAAAACATTCAAATGATAATTTATATGATCTCTGTATAATTTCCCAATGTGGTTAAAATATTTTTCCGTTCCATATGTATTTCCAAAATCACCCACAAGTTCATGTAATTACCCTGTCTTAGCACTGTAAGGAAGGAATTTTTCACTCTATAATTAAAATAAAAAAGGAAAAAAGCCACTTTCCAGTTTTGCCCACAGCTCTGCTATTTTCTGGAGGAATCTGAAAGTCCAGGCCCAAGTCTTCTTAGTTTTTCCAGTTTCTGCAATCACCTGACTATTATGTTAAATTCTATCTAGCATTAGTTTTTCCCCACAAAACTAACAGGATTTTTTATTCACCCTGCCATGGTTAAATGGTTCCAATTCTATTGACAAGGTGCTAATGAGTACCTGTTAAGCAGCATGTTCTTTCATAGCCATAACATCTAAAATAGCTTAGAAAATCACACAATTTTCTGCTCTTCATATCACAAGCTATTGTGATTTTTTAAAACAAATGCTATGGTCATAATAATTCCTTTTTCCATCTACCTTTAGGTTTACTATATCATTGTGTATACTTTATTGAGTCTCTGTAAAGTGAGATAATTAGCATATGCTGCTTGTCTAAACTGTATTACATAAATGTATGTAATATGTTCTCTACATTATGTAATATGTTCTCTACATTATGTTTATCAGCAGCAAAACCATACAGCCAAGTTTATGAACTATGTCTGCACGAACAAAAACTGTTCAGACAAATAAAAAGGTATTACTGTTTTGTTACAGGAGGTAGTGAAATATTTGTCAGTTAGAACTAAAACAGCTAATTCTGAACTCATATTTTTCAAATATGAATCATCTCTAGTATGTTTTATCAAATGTGTTCATCAAAAGCTTTTGTCACAATGTAGTTTTTAATCCCTGTTCTGTGACATTTTCGTTAAAAAGAGATAAGTCTGAGTTTGTGGCACAGAGAACAGTTTCGATGATTTTGGGGTTATTATCACTCTTACATGCTGACCAGAAAGCTCGACATTTATTTCCATAAATAAATAACAAATACAAAAATTCTAGTACAAGTTAGAAACCAGCAAAGATGCACAACTAAAATTATGTCATTAAAACTAGGTCTCTATCTCCAGCAATGAATCTGGTACTAATCACTCACATTTATCTCGATTTGATTCTGCTTCTTCACTTTCAGTATCAGCTGGCAAAATCCATGGCTGGTGAGCCAGCTGAAGTTGTTGTAGGAAGTCCTCCTGCCACAAAAAAATAATCAATTTAGTCAAGCAAAAATTAGGGCTGCAATTGATCGAATTGATTCTTTAATTAAATCAATTACAGGTACTCCTGATTAATCAGGTAATTTTTTCCTCTATTTCAAGGCTTTTTCAGGAAAAGGCAAGGGAAATTCTGTGAATGTTTAAAATGTACATTAATCAGTAGAATTGTCTAAGAACTATTTCTAGTCTCACAAAACAGATGTTGAACTGACTGCATATAAAAACTACCTAATCTACAAGATTAGACATGGAACAAAGCAATGGAAATCCAATTGAAATGTTACAGGAAGACCCTGGGCTCTAATAACTAATAAAAGTAATTAGCTATTTTTAAAGTCCCTTTTAAAAAAGTATTTATTACTTGGTTTTTCAACTTATACCCAACTTTATGGTTATATAAGCTGTCAAAACAGCATGCAGCAAGCAGCAAATTATAAAACATGACAGTAAAATCAGTATCATCCTCTCCTTCCTGATTCTGGGGTGCCTTAACTTAATATATTTACCCTGAATTACACCAAGAGTGACAGCAATTTTTAACTCAGTAAATGGGTAAAAGGAAGACTCTCCTGTTTTTTCTTCTTGCTGAATGAATCTGCTCAAAATCACACTAGTTACAAACTTGCGTGGAAGCTGAATGCTGGTCCAAACCTCAGGTCTTGAAAGACCCAACTTCAGAACAAAATAGGAGTAAGTTATTGTCACCACCAAAACAAGATCTTCTATCATCACCTCAGAGAAAGTAGAGAGCTGTGATTCTGTAAGGAGTCTTAGCAAGAGGCCTCACAGAAATTCTTGAACTAATTTTTGAATTCCTAGGAAATTTTGGGTTTAACCATATTATTTCTTTAATTTATATCCACCTTTCAACTCGGGCAGAATACAGAAATTTTAAAATGCTACACAATATCAAGATCACCTAACAATTAAAAGCTGGGCAAAACAGATGGATCACTCCAAATTTCCTAAACATTGAATGGAGCCAAGCACACTCCCAATGGAATGCATTCTATATACTGGAAGCAATGCAGGATATGTAAAATTTATGCAAATTTAATTAATCAAGTAAAACCCATATGGTTAACCTTCTACTCTTTCTTTAGTCTTTATGACATCTTTAACAAAGCTGATACATTGACAGGTCAACTCTGTGTAGAAAAGTAGCAAACAAATGAATGTTGATATACACTGAACAGCTGTAAATTATAATAGAATCCAGATTTCTTTCAGGCCAATAGCACACATTTTAAAACTGCTCAGGAAAGACATGATTTCACACCGTGAGGCCCTGCTGCAAGTGCAATTCAGAATTCATAAGAGGATGACCTCCTAGCCACTAGTTCTATATTGTTTGGAGTGCTGTAACTGTGCAGTGAGTTCTTTTTATTGAACAGATTTTTGTTCGTGAAAGAGAAGCAAGAAAATATGTTCTTTTTATAAAACAGACTTTTGTCCATGATAATAAAAAATGAGTATCTTAGATTTATAAAGCACTTTTTTGAGTAACCAAAGACTTGACTCTGCTTAAAAACTATTAAGAGAATGTGCAGCAATTTCAGTGAAATAGTATTAAAACAAATCTAGATTAAGTTCATTGAGCTTTGTTTCTACACATATTATATGCATCTCATTTTCATTTTCACAGCATTTGTACGTGTGTGTTTTCACACCAAGTCTTTTTCATTTGATCATTCCATCAAAGATACTATTTCATACTTATTATCAACAGAAATGTACATTGTCATATTCTGTATGTAATTCCTTTCACTCAGTTCCAAGTAGCATCTATATTCTCTTTCTTGGTATCTACTCACCATTCACCTTTCTGGAAGTAAACCTATTCTCTTAATACAAGAGTTGTAATTGTCATTTTGCTGTCATTCTCTTTTTATTGTAGTTTCTTACATGTCTTTCCTTTTCTCCCTGTTTATTTTTCCTCTCTTGACATTACTGAGAAATGTCTTTCATTCAGAAACTCTCATTATCCATCCTTCACGAATACACTCAATTTTTCATTAAAAAAATTATATCAATCATACTTTTAGATTTCTACTGATTCTTTTGAATTTATGAATTGAGCTATACTTAAGCCTGGACTATGAAAAAAACTAGATGGGAAAAAAATAACTTATTTGAGTTGTGTGCTAGAGAAGGCAGTCCAGCAAATTCTTTTGAAAGCAAAGGTGACAAATAAACAAATTATGCGATCAAAGTCACTGAAAAGGCAGTTATGCTCAGAATGATTACGGAGTAACTTCCGAGCCAGTGTACAATTTTATGCAACCGTATTTGCAAAGGTATTTGCAATGTCCTGAGACTTAATCATGATGTTTTTTTCCTACAAGTTTGCTTTAATTTTCCCCATGCCCTTGAGGAAGAAAGATGGATATTAAAATAAATAAACCAATGTTCCAACAAAAAAATAAAAATAGAATCTCTTTTGATATTAGTAGTAAAACAGCAAACTAGAAAACAAAAGCATGTTACCCAGATGTTTTCTTTTCTTATCAACCCAATACATATAAATCAACTTACAACCACAACTGGGGCCAGAGTTTCCATTATTAAGCAAGGTACTTGTTAAGAGACTGATGACTGATTTCATGAACTTTTTTTGCCAGTTGTTAAGTGAATCACTATAGATTTTAAGTGAATCACATGGTCATTAAGCAAATCCTAATTCACCCCATTGACTTTACTCATTGGAAGCTGGCTGGGAAGATCACAAATAACAATCATTTGATGCTCGGACACTGCAACTGTTCTAAGTAATGACAATTGCCAAGCATTCTAATTTTGATCATGTCAACATGGGGATACTGCAATGATTGTGTCTGCACCACTCACAAGCAACTATTTGAAGTTACAATGGCACTGGAAAAAGTGACAGCCATAAGTCACTTTTTCCAGTGCCATTGTAACTTCAAATAGTTGCTAAATGAATGCTTATAAATTGAGGACTACCTGTATACAGGTGATGACCTATCATAGACTCCAAAGAATAATGGTCTCAAGAGATGAAGCATGAAGAATCTGTACTTCATAAAAGAATGAAGGAAACAGTCATGATACGATGTATAGATGTATATGTCTCACTTGCAATTAGAGGAATATTTGAAGATCAAAGACTAAATGTATATAAGTGTATGTAGAAAAGAATTTAAAGCATAAGTTTACACAGAATGCTGCAATAACAAAAACATTTATCTATGTTATACTGCTTGGTTTGAATTTGAACTAAGCTAGTAATGTAACACACCTGCACGTTTGCTATAGCATTTTCCATGCCAACAGAGCTAAGGGTATGTGTACAAGCGCTCAGATCATCAGGCAACTTATAATTCTTTCAGACAGGATAGCAAAACTAAAACCTTGGACTTTTTACAAAAAGAACTTCAGAGCTGACATGCAAGTCTTTGCCAAATTCTTCATGTATCCCTGCCTTAAAACTGTTTATTATGTGGTTTCTTCCATAAAGAAAAGAAGAGTTTTAAAGCATTTCATATATTAGAAATGGGGCATGGAAAACTGTGTAGTAGAGGCCTCTCATTTGGAAAACAAGGAAACTAAATGATAAAAACTGTTCTGAACTGTATTGTTCTATATACTTTTTATATCACAGCTTAGCATATGTGGTAAAAATACAGAATTGGAGGAGCTAAGAGCTAGAATTGGCCTAAATTAAAGCACGAAAGAATTAAAGGCTGCTTAGGATATTTTTCTTCCATAAGATCTAACTTGTTCCATGATGCAACCATAGTCCCTAGTTTAGCATTAAGGCAACAGATGAATAGGAGGAGCTAAGAGGTAGATCTTGGTTGTTGGTGGACATAGCCCCTGGATTGCCAAAAACTTTCTCACTCATAAATCACTATGCCACAAGTTTGTGATGATAAAGAAAGGAGCAGACGTACGAACTTCTTTAGATGACCAAATGCTAATATTTTTTAAAAGAACAAAGCATTTAGCCAATATGTTTGATTTTCAGCCAAACACTGGAAAGGAACATAGAATAATTCCATAACTGTATACGATGAACACACGTGCATAAATTGCATGCTATGTGCTATGTATGCATGTGTGTTTCTGTACATATATCCTCACACAGAATTTTGGAAGCACTTAAAAGTGTTACCAGCAAGTAGCATTAAATAATAAATATAAACAATGAATTTCTTCTAATATGATATTTTGCTCTTAATCAACCTTAATTAGAGACTAATTATAAGGCTAATACAGAAATAAAGTGAAGCTGTGTTATAGTATTGTAATTCTTTTAAAAAAAAAACTTACTTCAGACATACTGCTTCTTTGAGTGATATTTCCTAGAGCAACTCCAGTTGTTTCAAGATGCCCTGCAGGACTAGTGATGGTCCTTCCAAGTTGATTCTTTGATATTAAAGACTGGCTTCTTTGCATACTAATGGTTCCTTCTTTGTTTCCTTGGTTGTTAGGGGAAACAGGTCTTTGTAACAAAGTATCTGGGGTTGCAGTTCTGTTTAGTGGAGTTGGCAGCCCAGAAGATCTGTTGGTCTGTGTACTGGAAGACTGAGGTCTACTGGAGACTAGTAGGCTATTGTTGCTGGATAATGGTGGTGATTTGTTTCTTTGAAGCTGGAGCTGAATATCTTTCCCATTCTGAACTGGTCTTGAATCCTGGCTAAGGGTAATTTTAAAATTTCCTTGGTGATCTAGTGGAATTACATGAGTTGATTGTCCAGTGGTATTTCTTGATAATCTTCCTTCTTCCCACAGTGCTAGGTCCTTTGCAATGTCTGCATATTGCAAAAATTATGCATTATAATGAAAAAAGAAAAATAAGGAAAAATTGTATAATTAATATTATATAATCAGTTTCATTCTAACCCAAGCAAACTGTTACTAAGCTCTATTCAGTGGTATATTGACCACTAAGCAGACTGAGCATGTGCTTAGGGCACCAGGCCCAAAGAGGGCACCACAAAAACTTTCATGTAGCCTCAGCTTGGCTTCATTTGTATAGTATGTACAAAGGAGGAGGGCGCCAAGATTTGTCAGTGCTTAGGGTACTAGTGAGCCTTAATCCGCCATTGGTTCCATTACTAGGTTGTTTTCAACTGGGAAAACTTGAATGCCTTTTGCAGCATCACTCTTATGAAACCAGTCACATTAGACTTCTTCTGGAAGAATCTATGATAAGATTCCCACTAAAATGAACTGAAATCCACAGAAAGTCAAAGGGGAAAAAAGTATCTGCTTTGTTTTCAATACATGAAACACATTAGACTATGAGATAGAAAATTTTCCATCCTTAGCATCTTGCATTTTTACTGCACTCTCCTATGCATGAACATTTGGAGGTCTTTGATATACTCAGTGTAAGAGAAGAGGCTTACTATCTTTTTGATTTCTCATTCCGTCTAATCAATCAGCCCATTTCAATAAATTATTGTGCTTTTTGAAGAAGTGCCAGGAAGAGGTATATTACAGATTCAAAGTGAGTCCATGAACTTCATACATATACAAAATTAGCCATTTTTGGAATGCCTGACCCTTCTTCATTATTTCCACAAAGTACATTTATTATTATTCAGAGCATTTTTCTTAGACTTTCTTTCCAGAAGTGAAAATAGCCTTCATGACAAACTCATCAACAGTTCAAAGGTTGAAAAAAATATATTTATGAACAGTTAACATAATTTTTCCCCTCCTCAAATTTTGGATCTATGTCTAGATTAGATTAAAATAATTCAGAAATTCATATGAATTTTGAATTTTATCAACTTTTTATTGAATTCCCCAAAAAGTTCATCATTTTTTAATCTATTTTATTGAATTCCCAAAAGATGACATTTATAAATATTAATTATGAAATAAGACAAATGACTCTATCAAAATTTCAAACTATTATCAATATCCTTATGTTTTTGCTTATTTTTAGCCTGTACCCAGTAAATAACATTTCTCTTGTCTTTATGTTTCCCCAGAAATTGCATATTAAATAATAGGAAGATTAAACATATTTTGAAATATGTCCAGGGCAAATCTATCTGTCATCTAAATAAACATATATGTGCACATACATAGCCATACATAAACATATGCTCCTCTTTTTAATAAGCAAAATGAATTGCAGCACCAAAAGCTCTGCATTTATTTCTCTGTATGATTCCATTCCCTCCTGTACGTTTTGCCCAGTCTGGTTGTTAACAAAAACTTGTGCTGGTTCATACTTCTATTCAAAATCATTTGTAAAACAGAAAATTGTTAATAAGCAGATTTTTTCATATTTTAATGGCTATCTGATAATCTGGCAAGTAATAAGATCATAATACCATAGAGACTGCCTCAAACAATATGAATTGCTGTATTCTAATAATCAGTTTGCATCTTTAGACTCCTAAGGAAACTTCTGGAATAAACATGCATACAAAGAATAGAATATAAATTATTTGCATAGAAATTAGTTCTTATTCCAAACTGGAATAACCTTATTAAATGGTCTTTCATTCTCAATTACTGTATATTTTCAGATATTTGCCTCAGGTAGTTGATTATTCAGAACTTGCCAGCCTTGAATGCATCCTACCAACCACAAGCTGCAGATAAAGGATCTTGGAAGAACAGCTGGTTCCTAGAATCACAGGTCATATTATTACCTGTTCAACATTCAGACTTTATTTACTTGTTATGTCAAATCTATTTATGCTTCTTTCTCTCCTTTAATCACAAGCAGATTTATGAAGCAGTTGTTACCGTATCATTGATATGCTATTTGATACTTCAGCTCCAACCCTCTCCCTTATACTTTATTTAATGTTTCACTTTATATTACCTCTTTTTATCTTTATGGCATGAAAAGTAATTCTAGGAGTACTGAATCCTCAGATTTAATTTCACACTTAATGTAGATATAATGAAAGTTATTGCCAGCTAGCCAGACTCCAATTTCCACTTGTTCACCAAATAGCCTTTCTTTGTATTTTCACACAAACAATTGTCATGACTAGGAGAAATAACATTCCATAGAACTGTCTACATATGGACATCATGGTTCAAAATACAGAAGTGACAACAGCCCAGCTTGAATCACCTTCTCCTCCGTTTATCCATTTAATGTCTTGTTCTGTTAAAAATTTGATTTAAGAGATAATAACATGGATGCTGTAAGTTAAACCAAATGTACAGTGAATCCTCTTTCAATTAAATTAACCTGTGTTTTTGCAAATGGCTCGGTTCATGACTTATCTGCAATGAAGGAGAGATGGTATGTTGGAAAAATGCAGCATTTATGTTTCAGTTAGTTTCAATAACCATTATAATTTTGGCTCAGCTTTGTTATCTGCAAAAACTGATTGGTTCTGCTGATAAGTAAAGCATTTAAATCATTTCTCCACAGTTAATTTAACAATTTTAGTACAGAACTGTTTACATTTATTTAGCATTTATTCTGATTTTGAACATCAACTTTCACAAATGAAAAAGGAAGTATTTCCAAAAGAACAGTGCCAGTAAATAACTTATCAAAGCATGTATTTGGCCCATTCATTATTTTTAAAAAGCTCACATCAATGACACTGAATGGGAGGAAGTACTGTACATGTAAGAGATTAACATATCACAACATTTTTAGCTATGAAGAGGCTGTGAGGTTAACAAGAGATCAACTAATTGCTGGATACTTGAAAAGGAAACTTAGTGTTTCGTTATTTGCTAAAAACCAAACACATTTTTGCATTCTTAGAATATTGGAAATAACGAAGAATGTGGTTTCCCATGTTCAATGTGAATGTCAAGCTAATATTTAAATATCACAGCCTGGATGTCTCTATGGGCTGGAGAAAGAACAAGTAGTAATAAGAAGTCAGATAGACAAGGTGAGAAATTGAATAATTAATGGAAGCACCTGAAAACTTCTCATGTTTTAAAAATAATGTTTATTGTCTGTCTCCCAGGAACAGCCTAATAAACTATATAGATTTTAATCAGAGAAAGAGTTGCTGAATGTTTTTCCTAAATTGATGCAAATGTATTGAAGATACTGTAAGAACAAAATCAGATTAAGAGGTTTTTGTTTATTTTAACTAACAACAGCTTCAAAGAATGTACCCTCATAATAATAAAATATATTAATTTGCCAGCAGAATTATATCTGCTTTCTGCCTCCAATAATGATGCTAAAAATCTTACGGTCTGATGATAATAATCAGCCTTAAGCACCTGGCAAATATCAGGTATAATGACTTTTGGTTATAGGTGTGAGCATTAGGTATTAACTATTACCGTATTTCCTAGTTTTTTTCTTTTTTCAAGAAGCATTCATCCAGTGTAAATTTTTATGCCTTTTAAATTATGGAAACGAAGGATAAGCAATTGGAATAATTTGTTTTCTAAAAATGGGAACAATAAGAGCTTAATAAAGAAACATTCTGTGAAGCTTAAAATAGGAGACTCTCCTACTTCCATGACAATTAGTGTTCCATTCCTTTATGTGCTTACTACATCTGTCATCTTTTCTCATGACAATTTCAGTCTTGTAAATATAGTAAAACTAAGAACTTACAGATTATTTTTCATACTCTGGATAAAAGTCAAATAATTTGAGGAAAATTTATCTCCTTCAAAAGCTGGATTTTCTAAAGTTTTTTGAGAAAATGTATACAGTATTGCCTAATAGTAATAATAAAAATTCATCGGCATATTATTGTGGAAGGCAGCTACCTCCTTTGATAGCTACATACAACCTACTGTCATTGCCTATCTTTAAAACAGAGTAGCACAGTCATTCAGGTAAACTTTTGTTATCATATTCATCTAAAACATTATATAGTTTCTAAATGAAAAGTATTATTAAAGTCTTGTGCATAACATTTACCAGAGAGGTGTTTTTCCATAGTTTGTAGTTCTTTTGCAGCCAGTGAATCTTCTAATGGTTTCTGACTTGAAGAGTCTCTACTTCTTGAACCCACAATGTCTAGAGTCCAGGCTGGCTGATTCTAGAATATTTAAACACAAGGAAGAAAACAATGACAATTTTGTGAAATGTGGATTCATCTAACATATATGAACTCAAATGGGCCATTCTTTTAACCATATGATTAAGATAGTATCAGTAGTATCAGGTAACCATCTTTAACATTTCCACAAATTAAGGTCAATGTGTTAAGGTCAAATCCATATGATTTAGTTTGTGTGAACCCATTTATTTTACTGAAAGGCATTCAAATTAGGTCAACATCAAATTCATCTCAATATGAATATAATCTACTCCTTTAAAGACAAAGAGCATCTCCAATACCACTATATAATTGCAACAACTCATGACGATAGCAATAGCAGTAACACTTAGACTTATATAATACTTCATAGTGCTTTATAGTACCCTCTAAGCAGTTTACAGAGTCAGCATATTGGGTCCAACAATCTGGGTCCTCATTTTACCGACCTAGGAAGGATGGAAGGCTGAGTCAACCCTTGAACCAATGGAAATCCTGGCAGTCCGCAGAATTAGCCTGCAATACTGAATTCTTAGCACTGTACCACCACAGCTCCTACAACATTACTATACTTTAAAAGCATTATTGTCAAGAAAAACTTTCAGCTATTTGGTTGCACAACCATGTGATATTTAAAAGTATAGTTTACTAAAAATCTTCTACTGATTTTAGAAGTTATATTTAAAATAAGAAACTTGGTAGTAGTTTGGTAGAAGTAAATTTGGTAGGATTTTTTTGCAGACAACAAAATTATAAGCATGTAATTCATGAAAACAAAGAAGTGGGTTTTAAAAATGTTAATTATCTATAAATATGACTAGTCTTCAAAATTTCTAAACAACATTTGATGATAAATACCAAAAAATTCAAATTAAATACTATGTTACTATGCAAGACCATAGGAGAAAGCTGTATAAGTTTATTTTGGAACTGCTCCTGAATAAATATTTATCAGTCTGAGCTTCACAACTATCTTGACAGATATGAAACAACATTGTTAAAAGATATTCTGTTTTTCATTTAAACACTTACTGATAAAAGACATGTAATCATGTTCCCCTAAACCACGCTATTATATTTTAAAAATGTAGGATAAGGAATGTTAGCCATAACTATATAATCTGCTGATATCTAAACCTTGAAGTTCTGCATTTCTACAGAAAAGAAACATTGGTACATTTAAGTATCACATCAATCAATTCTATAAAACCTGCTAAAAGATTCCGACATATTTTCTTACTCAGGAAGAAACTGACTTTATAAGATTTTCTTACAAAAATGATCCAGTGTATAGAGTTTGTTTCCACATCTAACCTTCTAACCCCAACTTACCAAATTATGCGTATGGAATAATTAAAATCCATATCCATTAATGGAAGAAATCTTTACAGACATATTGCTTTAAAATATGCGTGAATATGAGCAGCAGAGTGAGAAATCATATCTAGAGAGATTTGGCAAATTTATGAAAAGTAAGTATTCTTTATATCTATACAATTGACATATGTATGAGGAGAAATTACTATTCTTAGATTGAACCTACATTCTCCTTCCTTCCTTCCTTCCTTCCTTCCTTCCTTCCTTCCTTCCTTCCTTCCTTC